TTGAGAAGAGAAAAGAAGGTATGAAACAGCCTCTATAGGAAGTGAGAGAGAGTCAATTAGGAAAGAGTATAAGACTTGGTATACAACAGTGAGGACTGAATTCTAAACTTGACACACACCAAATAATTTGTCTGTTTTCCTCTAAACTGCCTTTTCTCTCCTTCTGCATATTTTTAAATATTTCATTGACACTCCTTTCTTTGTTTTCTCTCTTTCCTCCCTCCTTTTTTGTTTCTCTTCCTTAATTTCTGCAGTGCTATCATTATCATGTCCCCTTCCACCACCACTCCCCAAAATAAAAATTAAAACTCTTCTCATGCTAAATTGGGATAGCCATGCAAAACAGATCCACATATTGGCCATGCCTGAAAATGTATATCTCATTTTTCACCTCTGGTCCATTACCTTTCTGTCAAGAAGCAAGAAGCATTTTTCATCCTCAGTCTTCTGCAGCCAAGGTTGATCATTGAATTATTAGATTTCTTAAGTATTTCAAAATTGATTTTCTTTATAAATGTTGTAGTCATTGTATAAAATTATTCCCCTGGATCTGCTCACTTCACTGTGCATTAGTTCATACAAGCCTTCCCAAGTCTCTCTGAATCCATCACTTTCATTATGTCCTAAAGTGCAATGGTATTCCATTAAATTCATAAGCCATGATTTGTTTAGCCATTCCCCAGTTGATGGACATGCTGTCAGCTTCTATTTCTTTTGCTATAATAAAAAATGCTTGAATATTGCAATAAATATATTTGTATATATGGGTTCTTTCCTTCTTTCTTTGATCACTTTGGGATATATGCCAAGTACTGCTATTGCTAGGTCAAAGGGTATGCACAGTTAAGTGACTTTTTGAGTTTAGTTCCAATTGTTTTCCAGAATGTTTGTACCAATTCACAACAACAAAATTATGGGGATAATAATAGTACTTTACTTCCCAGGGTTGTTGGGAGGATCAAATGGGATAGTATTTGTTAAGTGCCTAGCACAGTGCCTACATAGTAAGTGCTTCATAAATGCTTAAAAATATATCAACATGTAAATTAAAGTCCCTAAGGGTAAGGGCAAGTGGGTTTTAGAGGAAATCTGTGAGGCAGACAATGGACTCCTACAGAAAGCTGAGGAGCTGTTATAGGCAACATATCTGGATGAAGTGAATTTCAAAGAAAAAGAGGTTATTATGTGATGGTGGTAAGGGGAGGGCCTGGAATTGATTGTGAGGATCAAGAAACATGCCTTCTCTTTCTCTTGACCTGTTGTATCATGACACACATGAAAGAAGGTACATCAGTGAGAGAAGGTACACTCAAGAAGATGGTCAGAAATACAGTGCTTTCTGGGGAGTCAGGGGAAAGGAAAGGAATAAACATTTAGATAGCACCTACCATGTGCCAGGCACTGTGCTAAATCTGAAAGAGCCAGATTTCTGTGATTTTGAAGAGATAGTGTGAAAAGAATGGGAACATGGGAGCAATAGGGCTAACCTAGATAGATATGGGGGAGAAACAAGTGGTGGTCAGGGAAGGGAGCTTCCCTAAGTTTCCTTTGATTTTGAGTCACAGGGATTCTGAATAGAGTATCAGTAGTAATGTTGTCATTATTTCTTAGCCTTCTTTTCTTATAATTTCTTCCTTGGAAAGCTCATTCACTCCCTCTTCTCTCCAGCTACAATTACCCCATAGTACAGATGACTCAATTTGCAGATTTTATTATCCATCTTTACCTCTGTTCTGAGCTCCAGAACTTCCACATGCCTACGGAAATGAGATCATATTTGTAAAGTGCTTAGCACTGTGCTGGGCACATAGTAGGTGCTTAATAAATGCTTGCTTGTTACCTCTCCTCTCTCCACTTCAAATTCAACATGCTCAAAATTGAATTCATTATCTTTTCTTCTAAACCTTCTATCTTATTTCATTTTTCTCTCTGTGACACCACCATTCATATGACCTTGGGATTATCTTTGTCTCTTTTTGCCATATCCAGTTTGGTACCAGTTTCTATCAACTCCATTTCTACAATATCTCTCATATACAGGTGTATGCTGGTAAATGTTTAACACCTACCTTTCTGGAAAAAAAAAGGAGGAATACACTTCCAGGTTAATCTTAATTATTAACATTTTCTTAAGTTTATATAATCAACAAAACAACAAATCAAACCCCAATTTGTAGCATTTGCTGAGTTCTGAGGTACAAATGCTCAAATTTAACAATTGGATCTCCCAGTCCTGTACAAACTGGCTCCAACACACCCCTGTGTCACATCCCTCCCCTTCTCCCTATTCTGCCATCTCTCCAGTTTCAGCCCTTGTTACAACTATCCCAGAATACTGAAACAGCTTTGTACCAGGTCTTTTGACCTTCACTCTCTCCCCACTCCAAAGCATTCTTTATATAGAAAAATCTTTCTTACCCACAGATCTTGAGATTTACCCCTATGCTCAAAAATCTTCAATGAGTCCCTATTGCTTCCTTTCATACACTTCTGCCTAACAATTAGGGTCCTAATGCCACCTTGCCTTTCTAGCCTGAGTTCTTCCCCCTTAGATCTCATGCAACGCATAATTTTGTAAATATTCCACGCACCAGGTAACATTGTTTATTAATTATAGTTGTACTGGTATTTCACTCCCATATTATACTATAAACTTGTGCTTAGGAAATGTTTGTTGTTCTTTGTTAATCCTAGAGCCTGGAGACAAGAGATGGCCATCAGGACCAAGATTCTGTTTTATTGGGGTTAGATATGCTGAGTGTGTATATGAGACTGGGGACTGGGGGTCAGGATCCCTAAGCTCTGATTCTGCCTCTGATACTCATTAGCTATCATCGAGTCTTAATCTCACACTGAGTCTGTTTTTCCCTCTTTCAATGAGAACTAATGCCTGCCCTATATATCCTGTCCTCTTTTTAGGCTGGCAGAAGATACTGTAATGGGAAGGGGCAGAGACAGTACTGAAGGATCCTCCCTTGGAAAGGCCCAAACTCCTCAGGTTCTTGATCAGCTAAGGATTTTTTTTCCTTACTGATATCAATAACATTTTGTGAGAGTCATTCAACAAAATCTGGAGCCTTTCTAAGCATCTGGCTATGCACTGATGAAGAAAGGATAAGACTAAGTTCTGAACCTTGGAGAGCTCATATCCTTTGTGATACAGGCAACAATTCTTGCAGGAGCTCAGATGAGGAAAAGATCACTGTGCTAAGGAAACATAATGTAGTAGAAGGAGCACTGGAAGACATTGGAGCCCTGACACTGACAGCTTCCTAGTCATATGTCTGTGGACTTATCATTTGGAGACATCAAGACACCTTTGTTTTGACGCTAGCACTAAGTTTCTGACACTCTATGCCTCAGTTTCTTTATCTTTAAAGTAAGGATAATAATATACTACCTATTTCACAGGGTTGTTGTGAAGAAAGGTTTTTTTAACCTTACAGAGATATAGAAATGTATTTTTTAAACCTTAGAGAGATACAGAAATATGGGCTATCATTATTCACAAAGGGGCAGTAAGACAAAAACCTTGCAGGACAGGCAGAGGAAGGGAAAAGAAATTCTAGGTTAGAAGGAGGGCACAAATCAGAATAAATGAAGAAAATAAGTCCCAGAAAGGTTAAGTGATTTACTGGAAGTCATAGAAGTGAGCCTCAATCTGGGCTGAGATTTAAACCCATGTTCTCAGACCCTAAATCTAAAGCTGTTTTCATTTTGCTGTATCATTTCTGCCCTACCTCTATTATAGGGCTGCTGTGAGCACCAGTCAGTCAATAAGCATTAAGTGCCTACTGTGTGCCAGACACTGTGCTAAGCTCTGGGGATACAAAAAGAGGCGAAAGACAGTCCCTGCCCTCAAGAGTCTCACAGTCTAACAGGGGAGACAACCAGCAGTTATGTACAAACAAGCTATATGCAGGAAAAATAAGAAATAACCAAAAGAGGGAAGGCACTGGAATTTGAAGGAGGTTGGAAAAGTCTTTCTGCAGAAAAGGGGATTTTAGATAGATCTGAAGGTATCCAAGGAAGCCAGTAATCAGAAAGGAAGAAGAGCATTCCACGAATGTGAGACATCCAGAGAAAATGTCCCGAGTCAATTGATGGAATGTCTTGTTTGTGGAATTGTAAAGAGACTAGTGTCACTAGATCCAAGAGTATCTGTCAGGGAGTAAAGTGTAACAAGAATAGGAGGAGAGGGGGGTAAATTATGAAGGGCTTTGTATTTGATCTCTGAGGCAATAGTGAGCCCGTAGAGTTTACCGAAAAGGGAGGTGACATTTTCAGACCTATGCTTTAGGAAAAACACTTGAGAGACTGGAGGATGGATTAGAAGCAGACGGACCAGCAGGCTATTGCAATAGCCCAATGATGAAGTGATTAGAGCTTGCACCATGCAGTGTCAGAGAAGGGGCTGTTGCTGTTCAGTCCTATCTGACTTTTCGTGACCCCATTTGGGGTTTTCTTGGCAAAGATAAGGAAGTGATTTGCCATCTCTTTTTCCAGACCATTTTACAGATGAGGAAACTGAGGCAAACAGTGACTTGCCCAGGGTAAGCGTCTGAGGGTGGATTTGAATTCGTCTTCCTGACTCCAGGTCTATCTACTGCGCCACCTAGCGGCAGAAGGGGGCTTATCAGAGACATATTGCAAAGGTGAAATGTCCAAGACTTGGCAGCAGATTAGCTATAGGGTGGGGGTGGAGGTGAGAGACAGTGAGTTAAGGAAGACAAAAATGAGATAATAGCTGCCAAGACCCGAGTGAATTGTACTATAGCAATGTCCTCTACCCCTACTGTTGACTGGCTGGCTGTCCCAGTCAGGTGCTAGGCCTCAGCAAGGCTGAAAGGTATACAGAGTGTGCAAGCTTCTTCCACGGCTATTGTTCTCTTTCTGAGGGATTCCCCCTCTCTCCTGCCTCCAGGGCACAGTACAGCACCTGGCACATAAAAGGAGCTTAAAATAAATGCTTTTTTTATTCATTTATTCCAATGCCTCCAGTAAGGCTTCCACCGTAGGTAAGGTTTTTTAGACAGTCCAAAGGGCCTGGCGAAAGAAAAGGCCTCTGTGGACACCGGTTTCCCCAACTGTATAATTTAAAGGCCAAACTCGTATAACCTCTAAGAGGGGTCTGCTAATGCTGACCCCGGCTTCCTGCCCCTCCCACGCACCCCACTGGATAAAGGCCTCCCAGAAATCCAAACCCTACCCACAGTAACCTTGCAAAGGCACAATGTAGGCCGAAGAACCCGCCCCAGCCCAGGCGCGGGCCCTCCCGCTCGGAGATCAAGGATTGGCTCCGCCTTTCTGCCCCCCCACCTTCTATGTAGGCCCCGCTCCTTTCGCTCAGAATTCTCCCATAGGCCTCCAAAGGTTCCGACCCTTCCAGACTCCCAACTGTTTTCCCTCAAGTCATGGAAGAGCTGGGAACATCTAGGGCGAGAACCTGGAAGCATTGGCGAGAGAGCGGGGGCAGAGGGGAAGTGTGTTCTTGACAGAGTGGCTTCTGGGAAAGCGAGTCTGCATGAACGGAGGCTTCTGGGGAATGAAGTCTTAGTCCTTGCGACTTTGGTTTCGCGCCGCTCTAGTCCTGCGCAAGCGCACGAGAGGTTGGGGACGAAGGGTTCGTGTTCAGAGAGGATGCAGGACTGGCGTTTACCCCTTGGGGGCGGGTTGAGGCTGGGAAATTGTGCGGTGTGTGATTCCCACCTGCAGGGGAACATTCTTCCTCGCTGATTTCTGAAGAGTAAACGGCCACACTGAAATTTAATTACTGGGTCCCCCAATCCTGTATAAGTGGGCTCCAACACACCCCTGCGCCCCAGGACAAACCAGCCTGAGGCAGACCCCTAAATTTTGGGTTTATTAGTCCCTAATCCTAACCGTTGACCCTGTTAACTGTTGATCCTGGGACTGACCCCCCTTGACCCTGACAGACCTTGGAGATGACTCCTCTTACAGAGGGGCTGCACTTCCTCACTCCCCCCCCATCTCTTGACCCTAAAGCTAACTCTGGGGCTGACCCCCCCACACACCCTGACTGACCCTGGAGATGACCCCTCTCACAGTGGGGCTGTACTTCCTGCTCCCCCCATACCTTTGGGCCTGATCTCCTGACCCTAAGGCTAACCCTGAGGCCGGATCCCCCTAACCCTGCCTGATCCTGGAGATGACTCGTCTTACTATGAAACTGGTCTGCTTGGAATATCGTGTCTGTGGGGATCCTCCCTATTTGAGCTGGGAGGATTTCCTAGTGGTTTCTCCTCCTCCTCCTCCAGAACAAGGGTGGAGACCTCCTGGGGAGAAGAACTAGGTGGTCTTGATGGTTCCAGCAGTCTATGCCTACCCTCCACCAATCTTCTAGGGTTATGGAGCCTTTGATAAGTCCTAAAGGAGGTCCCTTCTTCCTTGCATTTGACTCCTTCCCTTCCTTCTGTTCTGCCCCTCCATTCTTCTCCCTCCCTGTCATCCTCCCTAGTCAGCCTCTCCCATCCTTGTCTAGCTGGCCAAGCTTCATTCAATTGTCTCCTCCACCTAGAGGAGTTAACTGGGTGGGCTCAAGGGCTACTGATTGACAGAGAATGGTATGCCAGGGAGGGGCTGGGGGATGCCTTAGAAGTGAGCCAGCTCTGTGGGTCACCAGAGATCAAGGACCTGAAGGGCAGGAAGAAACCCCTTCTGTGCTGAACCCCCTCTATCAGGCACTGATGAAGGGGAAGACACCCTGAGCCTTTAAAGGACAGCTGGGAGCAAGGGTTGGTAGAAACGAAGCAGAAAAGGATCTCTCTGGAGCTAGTATTCTGAATTCACCTCTGAGCTCCCCAGCTCTCTATTCCTGAGATTCCTGCCCCCACCTTCCTGAGCCCCACTGGGCTTCCTCTGCTCCGCCTTGGCCCAACCCCTCCGAGGACCTCCCCCGCCCTCCCCCAAAGGGAAAAGGAGGAGGCCCACAGAGTTCAACTCAGCAGCTACCTATCCGGATCCCAGAGTGTCACACAGGACAGGACCCACACACAACACTTGCCTGGTTCAGCGGAAGGTAGGTTCATGAGCTTGTCTGTGTTTGCCCTCTCTGGGACACAGGCCAGGTGCTTGGGGCATCCCTGGGGTTGCTAAGCTCTGAGATGAGGGTGGCTGTGTTCTCCCTCTCTAGGACATCTCTGCCCTGGTGAGTGGCTGAGAACATGGGGACATTCCAAGACTGGGGGAAGTTGCAGGTCAGGAAAGAACCTAACTGTGGGAGCTGGAAACTCCTCTCTGGATAGACCTTACATGCAGAGGGAGTGGGGAGGGGAGCACAGGGGGAGGAAAGGGGGAAGCGATGTTCTCTATTGAGGAACCGGATGCTCAGTTCACCTGCTGTCCAGTGCAGGACTTCATCCTCTTTCTTAGTTGACCCATTCCCCAGATTCCTAGTTTTCATCTCTGACTTCCTTATAGAGATTTATCCTACGGAGGTAGAATGAAGCTCAGAGTTTTGGGGAGCATTCTTCATATATTGTCTAATTCATATATTGTCATACATGCATCTATATACTATCATTCTCATATATCCTATTCTGTCACAGAAGCTGTCACACTGTCACACACCGTTGTGTTGTCCAAAATTCATACACATAAGCTCACATATACAATCACACATACACATGGTCACATGCATACACTTTTATGCTCGGATACTTACATGAGCTGTCTTACAGAGCTGAGTGGTTCTACTGGGAGATTTAAGGCTCTGGTCAGGGCTGGGAGCCCTTGGTGAGCAACTTGGGTCTTGACTGGGAGTTAGGTCTGTCTCCAGGTCTGGGAAGCTCAGGTCTAGCTGCCCTTCCCCCCTCTGTACTGGGTAAATATTTGTGTCCTTCCTCAGCAGGGCCAGATCAAACTGCTCCTCCCTTCCTCCCTCCCTCCCTCCTTCCTTACCACTTCCCTGCAGCTCCATGGACCCCCTTGAATCTGTGGTGAAGAACCCATACACCAGCATTAACATCCCCCGAGCCCACCTTCGTCCAGACCTAGAACAGCAGCTGGAACAAAGCCAGGACACACCACCCCCTGGGGCCAGGCCTAGTCCTGCACCAGCTTACTTCCTGCCAACAGTGGATGGGTGGACCCAGGAGGAAGCCAAAGGAAGGTCTCAAATCCAGCCCCAGGCGTCTTGGCAACAGCCAGGGAATCCTTACACTGGCCTGCAGCAGACGTCAGGGACCACGGAGCCACCTTATACAAACGTCCCACCTGCACGGCCCGGAGACGACATCACCCATCACTGCTGCTGCTGCCCCTGTTGCCGTTGCTGCCACTGCCCTCGCTGCTGCCGCTGCCACCGCTGTTGCTGTGTGGTCTCTTAGCTCCTCTAAACACCTAGCCCAGAGGAACCCAGACTGAAGGAGACCTATGCCACGACGCAGCTGGGTTTGTTGTCATTCAGGGGTAAGGAGGAACATATCACACTGGGTGGCTCCCCCTTGGATGGCATTAAGCCACCTCTGGCCAAAGGAACTGGAGCTCAGGACACAGGCTGATGTCATTAGATTTGATGCATTTGAAATCGTCTTCCTATCTCCCTCCCCAAGTCACCCATCATGACAGGACAGGGTCCTGGGCAGAATCAGGAGCCCAGCAATCACAGAATTTCCAAGCTCAAATGGATCAAAGAAATCATAGAGTCTAACCTGTACCTGCACAGAATTCTACAATCTCCTTGATAAATGGGTGTCTTTAACTGCTGCTCAAAAATCACCAGTGGCCAGGAGCTCACTGTTTGCCAGAGGAGCCCATTCTGTCTTTGGCCAGCTCTGTTAGGAAGTTTTCCCTTACATTGAATGGAAATATGTCTCAGTGTCGTTCCATCTATTGATTTTAATTCTACCCTTTGGGGCCAAGTAAAACAAGTCTGATCTCTCTTCCCCATTACAACTCTTCAGATATTTGAAGACAGCTGTCGTATCCCTCCAGGATTATTCTTCTCTTCTCCAGGGTAAACATAACTCGTTTCTTCAACTGATCATAGTACGTCATGGTTTCCAGGCCAGTCTCCTTCCTCCAACTTGTTAATGTCCTGTCTAAAATGTGATACCCAGACCTGAATACACGATTATAAGATTTGGGGATGTCTAAGAGTGAGGAGATCTATTGTGAGGAGCGTGTTGAGGAGGCTGTCAGGGAAATCGGAAACCAAGGTTGGGAGAGGGAAGATCTCTATCTAAGATGGAAGAAGGTATTTGAACCTCCTCTCAGAATTGCAGCGGCCTAACCCTGTGCCTATTGAAAGCCTCACAGGCCTAGGGCAAGCCATCAGCACTAGTGATACCTATTACTGCCCACTATCTATCCACTAGAATCCTGAGCCAGTGATGAGGCTCAGTGGGAATGATTCCTGTCCTCACACAGCTCAATTCAAGAGTCCTATCAACCCAGACCCCACCTCACCTGGATTAAGGCAGTCCCCAGCATCAGGGGGACTCCTCACTTCTTCAGTTACCCCTGTTGTTCCCTTGACAATAAACCTAAATAATTTGTTCAGCTCTATCTTCACCACTGCTTTGCTGTGATTATCCAGAGACTGCATAAAGCTTGGAAGGGCTGGGCTTGGGGTCTAGGGTCTGGGAAGGTTCACTTGGAGCTTAGAGATTTGTAAGAATTGGGTGTATGGCCAGAGAAGAAGGGATTCTTGGGTTTGAAAAATAAAGCTCACATTTGTATATAGCACTTTAAAGCTTGCAATGGGCTTTCCGCGTAACAGCCCTGTGAGGTAGAGTAGACCAAGTATTACTATTCCCATTTTAAAGATAAGAAAACTGAGACTCTGAGGCATTGTGACTTGCCTCACATATTGGGTCACATTGTTAGTATCTGAGTTGAGAATCAAACCCCTCTCTGCTGATTCTAATTCCCACATTCTCTATCACACAATCACATTCCCCTATCCCTACTCTTCAACCTTGCTTCCATTTTGGCTAGGGCTGGACCAGCCTGGATCTAGAGGTGGATTGAGGAGATGGCCAAACTCTTCATGTCATTAAGCAGCAGCTCAGGCCCCACAGCTCTCAGCTACTGATTATTTTCCATAGCTGGCTCGGCAGTAGAAGCTCTGAGGAGGGACCCTATCCACCTCCACCTTCCCTTCCTTATCCTCAGGTCTCATGCTTGGTTCTGTCCTGACCCTGTAACTACACTGCCTTTGCCCTAACCTTATGACCTGTCTCTTAGCTATAGTCCCAGCAGTGAGGAGGGAATTGGAAGTTACCACCCATCCACTATGAGGAAGTAGTGGGGCCAGGGGCCAGTCAGGGCCAATATCTAAAACCTGGCATATGAATGTGGATGAAGACCACATATATGGAGTGTCAGACTCACAAGGGGCAACTAAGGTAGTACAGATCAGAGGCCCAGGGGTCCCAGAATACAGAAGTGAATAGAGATGGGTGAGGTCAGTCTTGAAAGGCTTTCCGAGGGAGGTGAGTTTTGTGCTGCAATTTTGGAAAAAAGCTCCCACATTGCCGTCATTAAGGTCATGAGGGAAAGAGATTTCTTAATGGTGAGGAAGAATAGGAACTAGCAAGCAGGAGTTGAAAAGACTAAAGGTGCAGAAGCCAGAGTAGAACTTGGCTAGGCCAGTGACTCATCTTCTAAATCCTCATCCTGGGTGAAGAATGATTTCCTAGTTTCCATTGAAACCTTGGTTTCCTCTGACTGTACAGTCAAGTGGTCCCACCCTCTGCCCAACATATCCTTGCCCCACCCACTACCAGCCTCTGCTCGATGCCCTCTCCAGTTCCCATCTTCATTCCTTCCATTCTTACCAAAGACAGCCTAGGACCCACTTTGAAAGGTTGAAAGAAATCTTAGAGATCATCTACTGAACCCTCATTTTATAAACAGAGAACCTGATGGCTGAGAAAAGTGAAGTGATTTGTCCAAGGTAACACAGATAACGTTGCTGGCAGAACCCAGATTTTTTAAATTTCAAATTCAGTATTCTATCCTTAGAGAAGACCATCCTAGGGCCCCCTGGTAGGCGAGTTACCAAACCACCACTACGGGTTTTTTACAGACATTGTGTGAGTACCCCTGCGTGCCTATCTTCATCCTAGTCAAGAAACTCAAGAAACATGGAGAAGTACTGAAGGAGATTGTAGTTTTTCTGAGAAGAGAAGTCACTCATGTGAAACATCAGCGAGGGCAGTATGAGACTGAATTTTGAACTGAGCAGATCAGACACTGAGTGGAGTGAGAGCCAGGAGCAGTAAGGGAGCGTAGAAATCTTCTCTGACTCCTGCATGATGGTGGGTCTTGAACTGCATCTTAAAGGGAAAGAGAAGAGGCAGAGAAGGAGGAGAAGAGACAGACAAAGAGAAAGAAGAAAGGAAGGGCATTACAGAGGGGATAATAAAAGCTATTATCATCATAATAATAGTAATAGTTAACATTTATATAGCATTTACTATGTGCCAGGAGGCAGCTAGGTGGCTCAATGGGTAGAGTGCTGGGCCTGGAGTCAGGAAAACCTGAGTTCAGATCTGGTTTCAGACACTTACTAGCTGTTTGACCCTGGGCAAGTCATTTAATCTCTGTTTGCCTTAATCCATTGGAGAAGGAAATGACAAACCACTCCAGTATCTTTGCCAAGAAAACCCCACAGGTCATTATTGGTATACCATGGTCCGAGGAGTCATGAAGAGTCTGACATGATTAAACAATAGCTATGTGCCAGGCACTTAGCTATTATTATCTCATTTGATCCGTTATTATAGATGAGCAAACTGAGGCAAACAGGTTAAGTGACTTGCTCAGGGTCACACAGCTAGTCCACGTCTGAGACTGGATTTGAACTCAGCTCTTCTTGACTCCAGGCCCAGCACTCTATCCACTGTTTTAGGAATGCAGGGTACATTAAGGGAAAACTGAGTGATAAAGCTGAGCTTGGAGCCAGATCATAGAAGGCCTTGAATGCCAGACTTGGGAGTTTGGACGTTATCCTGTGAACAATAAGGAACTGCTTACATTTCTTGAGTAGTAAAGGAACACCATGGAGGTAAGACTTGAGAACAATGAGTCTGACAGGTCGAGCAGGCTGGACTGGTCTTTCCACATCGAACAGTCGTCAGGAAGCAATCACTGCCCAGAGGTGCCTGGTATGTGTGAGGTATTCACTGTGTATGACCCAGTAGTCAGGAATTTTCATGGATCAGGGCCCAGAAGACAGACTCATATCAGCTCTGCCAACATTATCGAGAAGCACTATCCTTTCTTCACACACACACACACACACACACACACACACACACACACACACACACACCATCTTCTCTCACCATGATCTTGGATGCCTCTTTTCTGCCTGCCTTGCCTTGGTCCCCATGGCCCACTCAACCACTTTTCTAGCCAGGTACTCCCTTTTCACCCTCCACCCCCCCCAGCCCAACCTAGGAGAGAAGCAGCCCCACCCAGACTGAGCCACAAGAACTAGTCAGACCAGTTTGGGGAGAGTTTTGGGGGCGGGCTGAGGGAGGGGAAATGGAGGAGGGTATAAGGAAGGAGAGGCTGCCCTCCACCTTTACTTTCTGCCAGATTCAGAGCAAAGTTGTCTCAAAGCAACTCTTCAGTTCCCACTACAGAAACTCCTTGAGTTAAATTGAAACTGACTTAGAATCTGACCCTGACCCTACACCAGCTGCTCTTGGAACAAGAACATTCATTGTATTTATTCTAAGGAAGGGATGGCCCAAGATCAGAGGCAGGGGGCTACCCAGAGCTGACCCATGTTCACAAGCCAAGAAGTAGTGTGTTGTATTGCTTAGAATCAGAAGTGGATTCAAGTTCTGTCTCTAATAATTATGTGATCATAAGCAAGTGGCTTTAACCTTTCTGAGCCTCAGTTTCCTCATCTGTAAAATGGGTATGACAATGTTTATCCTCATCACCTCATGCAGCTATTGTCAAGAAAGCACTGTATATAATGGTACCATTGTGTGATGATCAACTTGATAGACTTAGCTCCTCTCAGCAATACAATAATCTAAGACAACTCCAAAAGACTCGTGATGGAAAATGCTATCCACATCCAGAGAAAGAAATATGGAGTCTGAATGCAGATCAAAGCATGCTATTTTCTCTCTCTTTTTTTTTCTTTCTCATGGTTTTTCCCTTTGGTTGTAATTCTTCTTTACAAAGTGACTAATGTAGAAATATGTTTAATGTGGTTGTACATATATAGCCTATATCAGATTGCTTGCCATTTTAGGGAGTGGGGAGGGGAGGGAGAAAAATTTTGGAACTCAAGATCTTATAAAAGTGAATGTGAAAACTATTTTTACATGTAATTGGAAAAAATAAAATATATTAAGTGGAGAAAAAAAGAAAGCACTGTATAAATTTATCTCTTATTATTATTATTCACTACGTGACCATGTCCACATGTTAAGGGGATATGCCCCGGTCGGATTTAGCTTTTAATGTAGTCATCCATGACCCCTCCTCATGCTCCTCATCTAACTAATGCCTGCTGTGGTGCCTTCCCCATTACAACCTTGCCATTCACAAGCTCTCTCCATCAATGCTGCATGGAGTGATAAATGGAAGATTCTGCTGATTGTGTTTTTCCCTTGTTCAGGGGACCAAGTAGGGGTGGGCAGGCAGAGGTCCCTAAGACTCCTTATCTCTCGCAGGGCCATGTGTCTGGAAGCTGTGGTGGGAGATCTATTGCACAGCTTTTGTGACTGAAAGCGGAGCTGGCTCATCCTGAGCTCCTGGGTGGTAATGTGAGACCCCACTGGGGGGAGGGGGAGCCCTGGGCATCTTGAGTACCCATCAGACTCCCTGGGATCTGGTCCTGAGGCTGGACACATGCAGAAGCACAAGATCAGGGAGCAGGTAAGAGCTGGGGCTGGGGGCAGGGAAAGCGAGGGAGGGAGGAAAGGAAAGGACACCTGGGAGCTGGTGTCTAGGAGAGACAGAAATGGGAGAGATGGAGGCACAGAGAGACTCAGAGGTTGGGCCTACAGTCAGGAATTGTCTGGTACTACAGCAGTGCTATAAGGGGGGGATGGGGAAAGATTGATGTGGATTGAGTTATAGATCCATTCCCTGGTCTCTGATCAGCTTTGTAAATACCCTGGGCTAGAGAACTGGGCTGCTCAGGAATCCAGTGAATAGGCCAAATAATGGATGATCCAGAAAATTTGTCTCAATTGGCCATGGGTGGGTTGCCTGGATAGGTAAATCCCCTCTGCCCCCAGCTCCTTTCTAGACAAATCCCAATTCAGGGAAATGAGTTCAGGGACCAGAGAGTCAAAGCATCAGCTGGAGGTGAAGCTACTACAGACTGGGAGACAAATGCCCCCACCCCAGACACCTCTCTTAGGCAACATTCAATGGTCTGAGGTTCTAGCCTGGACAGCTGAGAGGAGACTAAGGAGAGACATACTGAGCTGGAAAGCTGAGGCCTTGAGACACTAGGTGAAGGAGAAAGACCAAAGTCCCAGGACCCTGAAGGGAGCCAAGTAGTCTAAGAGCCCCTAAAAGTGGCCAAAAGGCCAGCAGGTGAGGAGTGAGTCAGGTGGGAGATAAGCCTTTAGTATGTAAAGTTCCCCAGGACGCTAAGATCCAGGAAGCATAAGACAGATATACTCTTCAGTGTGGGCTTTTGGAAGAGTCTCTTAGGGGAGAAGCTTGTTGGCTTAGGCTGTAACTAGCCATTCTGACACCTGGGGCAAAGCCGGTAGGAAAACTTCAGGGAGTAGCTACAGGGTACAAGGGCCCAGGCACCAGCAGCTAGGAGAGGAGTGCAATGGGACCCTCTGGGGGTCCCAACATGTAGTGAGAGAGTGGAGGGGGCTACCCTGCCTCTACCGAGGCCCATGAAAAAGGCCTGGCAAAGAACCGGAAGGTACAGGAGCACTCTGATAGGGGTGAAAGGAGAGAGGGAGCAGGCTCTCCTCTGGATGTCAAGTGCCACGAAGTAAAAACCTAGTCATTCTGCCCCTAGTTAGGTTCTCTTGTTGGATTTCCCATAGAGTTCTGGGGTCTGAATAGGGTGGAGGAAAGACCCAGAGGGGGAAGACAGATTCCTGAGATTTAATGTTAGTTTAGCATTTGGGAGAATCACACTCAGGGTCTAAGGGTTCTCAGAGTGAATGTCGGGGTAAAGGGTGGGGATTTTACCAACGGTGAGAAACGGTCTCCATAGGGACTCTTTGATAGGTCAAAGATCATCAGTGAATGACACATATCTAATAAGGTTGTTGTCTCCCTAACCAGATTGAATGCCAAAAAGCAGGAACCATATTTCTGGTCTCTCCCATTGACTTTAGCATGGGAGTTGACAGAAATCAGGGCTCTTTAAAGATGTGTTGACTTTTATCAATTTGACCTGGGAGGCAGATAGAGAAGTCTGGGTTGGTGGGAGAGGAGGTAGTATGTTCAAAAAATACATGGCAGATCAGTTATCCCCCAAAGTCCTCAGTGGAGGTCCCAACTCAGCGAAGATTTTGTGAACCTAGCTCCCATTCTCAATATGGGGTAAATCTGCCTGAGTCCAGGAAGTAAAGCAGTCACTAGGACTGTAGTTTCCTCTTTAAGGATAAACCAGAAGGAGGATGTCTCTGTTCATATTCTCCTTCATTCTACCTTCCCTACCTTTCCTGTACCTTAACAAACTACCTTTAGAAGAACATCTCTTTCAGGGACTCCATAAATATTCTCCCAAAAAACTTTTCCCCAGGTCCCTGACCCCCATTTTGGCTATCCCTGAAGTCTTCACTCCTCAGCCTTCCAGGACCGAAAAAGGGAGGAGCTGGTAGCTTTCCTTGTCTCTGCCCAGTTTGGAAATAAGATATCTGTGGTCCCGCATCCAAGCTATATGTCTTTTAGTTGCTGTGTGTGTGTGTGTGTGTGTTGTGAGTGTGTGTGTATGTGTATGTGCTCTGTGCATATATGTTCATAGAATCAAAGGATTTAGAGCTGTAAGGGACCTTAGTGATCATTGTGGCCAGGGTCACATAAGAGGTAAGTGTCAGAGCTGGTGTTCAAACCCAGGTCCTCTGATAGTAGGTCTAGTGTTCATTCCATATGACTTTTCCCATGGTTGTGTGTCCTAAATGTAAGAAGTATTGCATCATCCTAAGCCCTGTCAAATGGATCAACAACAGAAATGGATATAGTTGTTTTTTTTAATCAACAGAAATAACATTAATGAAGGCACATTACCATCTGTTTTGCCATTGCATCCCAAGGACCATCTGACTTGCTGCTGAATCCTCCTGTGTGTGTTGTCTCCCGCTATTAGAATGTGAGCTCTATGAAAACAGGGACTGTCTTACTTCTCACTTTGTATTCCCAGTAAGTGTTCAATAGATGCTTTTCCATCCATCCATTTATTCATTCACTCACAGTAGTTACAGCACCAGACTTGGGAGTCAAGAACATCTGGCTTCATATTCTGCCTCAGACTTGCAAGATGTTTGATCATAGGTAAATAAATCATTTATTGGAGATCTCAGTCCCAATTTTCTCATCTGTAAAATGGGGTGATACTTGTAGTGCTTCCTGTGTAGGGTTGATACAAGGATCAATTATTTGTAAAATGCTTTGCAAACCAGGGAATGCTGTATAAATGACCAGCGGTGGTGTTTCTTTTATATGAGTGTCTCTGACTCCATGTCTGTGAGACCCTTGTCTGTACCTGTGTGTGTCCCCTGAGAACAGAGCCAGAATGAAGAGATGTAGTTAGGGCTTTTGAAGGTAAGGGGTCTGATGAAGTCAAGATTTTGTGCCACATTTTGACACTAGCCCTTTATTGGCCCTGGTATCCAAGGTAACAGGTCGAATGAGTCCCAGGTCCCCAGTCTTGGTCCTTCTTTCTTTCCGCAGAATGTTGCATGTAGAGGGAATCACTGAAAGTGAGGCCATTCCTGCTAAGGAGAAACCTTCAGAAGTGGGGGTCCGCCGAAATGACTGCATCATCTGCTATTCCTCCTATGACCTGGCTGGCCGCCTTCCCCGCCGTCTCTACTGTGGCCACACCTTCTGCCAGGCTTGCGTCCGGCGACTGGATGCACCAGCTCACGAACAGCGATGGATTCCCTGCCCTCAGTGCCGCCAGAGCACACCCACACCGAGAGGTGGTGTGGCCATGCTGGACCTTGATCTGGCTGCCTTCCTAGCTGTGAAGGCAGAGCGGGAGCCCCCCCGGGGAGGGCCCTGGTCCCCTGCTCCTCACAAAGGCAGCCCTCCCAAGCCCAGCTCCGTGATCACCCAGCAACCAGCCAGCCATTGTCCAACCCTAGGCCCTCAGCCCCGCTTCCCCCGACAGGGTTGCTGTTGGAGCTGCTGCCTATGCTGTGAGCCTGAGGGCACCCCTGAAGTCTAAGTCCTGGCCATAATTGTGCCCAGCCACCAAACATCCTGCCATGTCCCGAGCCACAACAGCCAGGCAGTCTTCATGGGAAGCCGAGGCTGAACCCTTGAACTAGTCCATGCATGGGACTGAAAGTGAGGGCTGGAGCTCTGCCCTGGGATATGTCTCATCACAGTTTCCTTGCTTTCCTCACTAAGCCCCAACTTCCTTGCCAGTTGCCACCAACCTCTTCTCAACGCTGATTTACCATTCTAGGCTCCCTAGCAGGGCCCTGAGTTGGGGTTGTTTGAAGAGTTCTAGCTCCTCAAGGTGGCAAAGGGCCTCTGGCTGCTAGAACCCATAATGGCTCCCTTGGCTGCCTGGTCCCCTAGAAAACTCAGTCCCTGAAAGAGATAGGGCTCTGGACCTAGAACTCTGAACTCAAACCCCATAATTAGCACATAAAGTAAAGGCTATGTTGATTTGTGTCCCAGAAGAAGCCACCACCCAGATCATGAGGGTAGAGATACCTAGGACCATGGCTGAGATCCCTGCAGTTTGGAATAGGGTACAACGGCTGTGTTTACAACCATTTGTTCTGTTCATTTTTTGTTTTTGTTTTTGTTTTTTTTACTAAAGTTTGACTATCTACTCTGGTTTCTGTCCCCCAACTGCATGTTTGTCTGAAGTCACAGAGTTTGTTTCTGATTGCCCGAAGATCCTTTTGGCCACAGTGTGTCACCAGGGCTTTTTTTCCCCACATAAGGAACAAGATAGGCAAAAACAGTAAAGCTACGAATGACCCCTTCTGGACAGAAGCTGCTCTCCCGTCCCAGGGGAAGGTTTTGCTGATAGATAGGACTGGTATAGAACCTTGAACTCTAGACACTGATCCCTCGGACCCTGACCCATAAATGACCCCTAGACACTCACCCCCAAACACAGTGACTCCTCAGAAAGTGACCCAGGACGGTGATCCCAAGAAAGACATTTAATCAATTCCTGTGTTGTCCAGAAGAGAATTTCTTTGGCAGGGCTTTCTTTGAACCTAGGTCCCAGGATGATGCCCTAGGCTGCCTGGTTGTGGAGGGGAGGGAAGGCATCCAAGGGAATGTGCTGACCCAGGAGGGACACCGATCTGCCTCACCCACCAAGTCCAAAGTCTCATATGCCCACAGGGAACATGCAGAGAGTGGGGACTCCCCACAGGCTGGCCCCCTGGAGAGTATGTCTAAATCTGACCCTGGCATGCTTGGGGGGGGTGCCTGGCGGTTGAACTTGTTGCCCCAAAGAGAGGACTGATCAGGGAGGGGCTGACCCCTAGAAAAGGGAGCACCCACCAGAAATGGTGCCCCAAGGGCACAGGTAAGGGATACAACAAGGCCACAGGCCGTCTCGGTCAGAATTCAGTCTGTAACCAGGGTAAGGGCTCAGTTTATGGTCAGGGTTCCAAAGCAGTCGGTAGTTAAGGTCAGGCCTCCGTTGGGACCAGGGTTAAGCACAGCACCATAAAATATCAGCACTGCAAGGGACCTTAGAGCCCATTCTATTCTAACCCTTCCTTTTCCAGGAATAGAAAGAGAGAGGTTTCATTCTAATCGTGGCCCCAACAAGAACAACCTCTAAATCTGATACGGATTCCACAATGACTCTAAACCTTGTCCTGACCCCACTCCAGGCACAGATACTCTCCTGGATTTTCCTTTTGTCTACCTTTCCCTCCTCCAAATCCTGACCCATTCTTGCTTCTGAATGAATCTCTTTAGCCTTTCTTGCCCCAACCTGGGCTCTGAGAGCAAAAGCTGCCTTGGGTTTGCCCACCCTGCTTCCATTCTGATTTTAGAGAAGCAGACGATGCCCTTGGGAAGGTGAACAACAGACAGGGACATAGTAAGAAGAAAGGGCACACAAGCCGCTCAAGGTTAGGCTTCTGTTACTGGCAGAGTGCTCTGCAGCAGATAAGACGTGTAGCCAGCCCAGGACACAGGCACCTCAGAGCTGGATTGCCTAAATCCACGTTTTCCTCTTCATCCAAATGTGCTGGGGTTGTGTAGAGAAAGCCAGAATCAAAGGAAGACCTCAGATAGGGACCTGGGAGTCCAGAATATCCACCCCAGGTTCCTTTGCTCTCCACCTTGCCACTGGGGTAGGGCTCGGGAGAAGCCAGACATAGTGTGGTACACTGTTTGTGTGCAGTCATGGTGTACACTGGCTTCTCCAGGTTGGGGAAAGGGATAAGTGGCATCAGACAGAGATTACCCGTCAGGGATCGTCCAGGAGATCCTAGTCTCCAGGTGAGGGGGAAGCACCCAAGCCAAGGGAAAGTAATCTTCTTTCTGGGAAGGGCTTGGGGGGCAGGAAGCTTTGACACTTATGGGTGTCTGTAGCTGGAGGACCATGTCAGAAATGTGGTGTCCTCACCCAAGGAGTGGGGGACAGATGAGCTACCTGGTAAACATTAATGGGGCGGTGCTTATAGTGGGTCATGTGTGAGCGAAGCTGGATCTTTGACCTGAATCACTACCAGCCTTTTCTACAGCCTCCTAATCACTTCTCAGAGGGTGCCTTGGGACCAAGAGGCAGCTCAGGTAAGTGTCTTAGGGGCTAGGGCCTGGGGCTTGGCAGGGCCAGGAGACTGTATATATTGAGAGAGAGTGGATTGACTTTCTCTCCCAGGATACTAGGGTATTCTCTCATCCCCAGTTACCCCAGTAGTTGATGGCAGGAAAGAGTTACAAGGGAAGGAAGAGGTAGCCAAGAAGGAGAGGGGTGATGGAAGAGGAGAATGGGACTTGTGCACCTCCATCTCCCGTCTTCTTATAGCATCTGAGAATGAGGGTAATGGTGACAGAGGAAGGGCATCTCCCTCCTGCCTTGTAAAATCTTAGAATCAGGCAGGAGGGAGCTGCTGACTGTGATATGACGTGACATAATGTATGTGCTTGTGTGTGAGTCGGTGAGGAGGACCTGGGCCATGGGCAGAGCTGGGTACCCAAGGGACCTGGAAACATCTAGAGGCAACGTGGTCCCCTGGAAAAGAACATTGACTGTGAGGTCAGAAGACCTGAGATTGAATCTCATTTCTGATGCTTACTACCCATATGACCTTAAACAAGTCACTTAACCTCCTTGAACCTCAGTTTCTTAATCTGTAAAATGAGGGAATTTGATTGGGAGGACTCTGAGGCCCCTTCCAACTCCATATCTCTGATTTTATGAATCTTGTGAAGATATGGAGGGAAATCAGTTGCCTCAGGGACCAAATATAAGACAGAAGTCAGGCTATGTGGAAGCCAGGCTTAAGATTAAAGATAAATAGTATGGCTTTTTTTTTTGGTTGGGGAGGGGTAAGGAGTGAGTGTTGGGGGATTAGGATCTTGGCTTTCTGGTAAATGAGTAGGAGTACCCAAGAACTGTAATGATAAACTGTCACCATCATCATCGCAAATGCCAAAGTCTAATCTGAAACCATCTATGGTGTCTGTAATAACACAAGATAGGATGGGTCACTGAGTTCCTCCACTGAGGGCCAAGTCCTAATGTCACCCACTTTGCCCTCCATGCCCTCTTTCCCACCCTAATCCTTGTCCCAACCTAAAGATAGCTTGATCTGACTATGTACAACCTGGAAGAATTGGCAGGTGCAGTTGAAATAATGGGACATCTGGATGGGCCCAGACCCTAGGAAGACAGAGGGATGGATGGATGGGTGGATGGATGAGACCATGGGTTACCTGAAGCCTCTGAATTTGCCTTTTGTAATATAGCATCATTCCTTCTACTGTGGGTGTGGGTCCTGGCTTGGAAGGGTATAATTTTAGTGGACAGGAGGAAGACAAACACAGACCTAAAGCTGATGTAGTTATCCTTCTGTGGAGGTAATGAGTAGATGACTCAGGATTTCTGGCTCCTATACCTTCCCTGCCAAGGAAAGGAGGAATCCTTCAGACCTTTTCCCATTCTTTTCATTTCCCACAGCCAGCCTGAGACCGGGTCCTGCATTGCCCCCTGCCCATGTCTCACTCTGAGCCTGGCCACAGGGCCCCTACCACTGCCAGTATCAGCCTTGAGGGCCAGAGAACTGGAGATGCAGGTACACGAATGTTCGTTCTTCCACAGACTCCCCTCTCCCTTTTCATTCTTCTCCATTCCTGTCCTTTGATTCTCTGCTCCTTATGTCCCAACTGCTGTGTCCTGTATCACATTCTTGTACCCTGACTCCATCTCAGCTTCTACCCTATTTGGTCCTTTCCCTGGACCATCCTGGAAGATTTGAAATTTGGGATAATCCTTGTCCTGGGGTCCAGCTCAGCCTCCCATTCTGGCTCTGATTCAAACCTTCCACAGGGATGGAAGAATTCAAAACCCAGGTCCCCAACTGGGCCCCAGACCTGGAGGAAGAGGGGGAAACAGATCCTTGGGCCCTCCCACAGCTGAAAGCTTCTGGCCAGTCATGGAAAGGTGAATTCTGTTCTTGTTTATTCTCTGCAGCAAAGAAGGGCAGAGACAGACATAGACAAGGAATTAAAAGGGGGCAGGGAAGCATCTGACATTGGAGGATACATCTTGCAGTCAAGGAAGGGAATTGCAAATGAATTCTCTGAGTTTTGGTTCTGGAAGAGCTCTCGTGATCCCATCCCCATTTTACAAATAGGGAAACTAAGGGCATGGGGATAGAGTAATTAAAGTTGTGGAAATGGAATATGGAATGGATATGTAGGGATTCAGGTTAGTCATTGAATACATGAGACAGGGTTTAGGGTTGTGAGGTCAAAACAGGGAATGGGAATAGAAATAAAGGGACTAAAGTTGGTGAAGAGAGGTATGGCACAGGGATGCAGGGATTGGTATATGGAATGGGGATGTCAGGATGAGGGGGGTGGGATTGGGATGTAGGAATTAAGATGATCAAATAGGGATAAGCATAGGAGCTCCGGGCAAAGGGAAAGTGTCTACTTTGTTCTCTCAGAGCTAAACTGGGCAGGTCGGCTACGCCATGTGGTCATTGGTGTCTTGAAGGGCTTTGCACTCCTTGGCCTCCTCTACCTCTTCATTTGTTCCCTGGATATTCTCAGCTCTGCCTTCCAGCTTCTAAGCAGTGAGTGACCATGGGCGTAACCAGGGGAGGTTTAGGCATCATTAATTTTTTAATTACATTTTTTTCTCATTTACAAATCAATTTCCTCCCTTCCTCTCCCCACTCTACCTTACCATTGAAAAACAAAGAAAAAAGAAACCCTTGTAATTTAAAGATGGATAGTCAAACAGTACAAATTGCTATATTAGCCACATCTAAAACAACATGTCTCATTATGTACCCTGAGTCCATTCCCTGTCTGTAAGGTGGTAGGTAGCATGCTTCATTATGGATCTTCTGCAATCACAGTTGGCCATTGGGTGGATCAGTGTTCTTTCAGAAATCTTTCAAAGTTGTTTGTTTTCCAGAGTTGTTGCTGCGATGTAAATTGTGCTTGTTCATACTTCACTCTGACAGCTTGTGCAAGTCTTCCCAGGTTCCACTGGGATCATTTCAGGGATTAGTTTTTTTTAACACTCTCAGACCCTTCTCTCCCTACTTCTCTCCCTCCTGCCTTTTATCTCAGGCAAAGTGACTGGGGACATCTTTAAGGACAATGTAGTGCTGTCCAACCCTGTGGCTGGGCTGGTCATTGGCATCCTGGTCACTGTACTGGTGCAGAGTTCCAGTACCTCCTCCTCCATTGTGGTCAGCATGGTGGCCTCAAAGTGTGAGTGACTCTGATCTTCTACTATGCTCTTAGGTGACCAGGCCTCTTGTTTCACAGAAAAATGGATGGATGGGGAGAGGGTTTTGTGGGAGGATTGGGAGGATGGGGGTAGAGGAACAAAGGACCAATATCCACCCCAATCTCAGGACTGAGGGTCCAAGAAGTTGAGCTGGGTTTTCTCTTCAGTGTTGACCGTTCAAGCCTCGGTACCGATCATCATGGGAGTCAATGTGGGCACTTCTATCACCAGCACCTTAGTTTCCATGGCCCAGTCGGGTGCCAGGGATGAATTCCGGAGGTGACTGGGGAGAAAGGCTGGAGAGGGGGAAGGTGGGAGGTCCAGAGGCAAGGGAGGGGAAGACTGGGGAGGATCCTAAGGTTGGGGCTTCCCAGGGCTTGGGAGAGAGGTCTATGGTGGAGACTGTTACACAGAGTCATGTGAACTTGGTATCGCAGAGCCTTTGGTGGCTCTGCTGTCCATGGCATTTTTAACTGGATGACAACGCTGGTGCTGCTGCCCCTGGAAATTGTAGCCAGAGCTCTGGAGAAACTCAGTGGTCTGGTGGTGGGATCCTTTACTCTCAGCCCTGGGGAACGGGCACCTGACATCCTGAAGGTGCTAACACAGCCCCTCACCCACCTCATTGTGCAGGTACTTTCCGCTAGAATTGGGGGAGAGGGATCAGAATCTCAGGGTTACTGGGTTCCCCTTTGAGGTTTAATACACTTATTAATTGGATAGCTTCTATTTCATTTTTCCTTGTCCTCCTAAGAAAACTTTAATGAAAGCAATTGGGATTAAGTGCCAGGGTCTTGCCCAGGATCACACAACTAGTGTCAAGTGTCTGAGATCGGATTTGAACTCAGGTCCTCCTGATTCCAAGGCTGGAGCTCTATCTACTGCACTACCTAGCTGCCCCTACCAGGGAGCTTCTTGCATTAACCTTGGCTTCCATGAAACTGCTCTGCACTGATTATCTTCCTAACCACCTGAATTCAAACCCTGAGTCTTCATTGGTTCATCTTTGTTCTCCTGTCTGCTAATTGCGAGGAACCCCTAAAGTTCTGTTCTTGACCCTCTTCTCTTCTTTCTACACTTTATTCCTTGATGATTTCATCTCTTCCCATGGCTTCAACTTTCAACTCTATGTACATGACTCTCAAATCTATATAATCTATATTATAACATTCATGAGGGTGAGAGCTATGTCACACTTTATGCCTATATCTCTAACATCCAATGAAGTGCCTTGGACATAGTATACCTTTAATAAGTGTTTCTTGAGTGGAATTATTTATCTAGCTCTGATTTCTTCTTTTGAGCTCTAGCCCCATGGCTCCAACTCTTTCCAGTTTACCTCTGCTTTGAAGTACTACCAGCAGCTCAAAGGAAATATGCCCCAAACTGACCTCCTTATCTTCCTCTCAAGCCCATCCTTTCCTCTAGTGTCTCTGCTTCTGTTGATGGTACTACCATGCTCCCAGTCAACCAGTTGACTTTAACTTTTTCCTCTCTTCTATCTCTCACATTCAATCTATTCCCAAGTCCCATTGACTGGGATACAACCTCTTTTCCATCGATTTCCTTCACTTCACTCTCCCCTACGACTGCCACTCTTTTTTTACCACTCTATTACCCTTATCTTGGGCTACTGTCATAGCCTCTGATTGATCACTCCCCACTTCCAGGTTCTCTTCACTCCCTTCTTCACACAGCTGACTAAGGCATCATCTTAATGTGCTACAGATGACATCATTTCTCCTCTGTCATTGTTCCTGTTGCCCAGAGGATCCAATACAATCACCTTCGCCTTGGCATTTAAATGCCTCCACAAAATGATTCCACCCTACCTTTCTAGTCTTATTTCTGTAACCAGTAGCCTAGAAGCCCAGAAGGTCTAAGCCTACACAGACCAGGTTCAAGCTTAGAAGAATCCCTAAGAAGGTCATGTTCTCTTTTGGCTGATGCCACCACCCAGAATTTATTCTGAGAAAGTCTCCAAATATAACTCCTTTCTAGGTTTATATGGGGCAGCTAGGTGGCACAGGAAATAGAGCACTGGGCTTGGGATCAGGAAGACTCATCTTCCTGAGTTCAAATCCAGCCTCAGACACTTATCAGCTGTGTGACCCTGGGCAATTTACTTGATAGTGTTTGCCTCAGTTTACTCATCTGTAAAATAAGCTGGAGAAGGAAATGGCAAACCACTCCAGTATCTTTGGAAGAAAACCCTAAAACAGGGTTATAAAGAGTCAGACATGACTAAAACGACTTAAGAACAATAAAAAGGTTAGTTTGATTCTTATTTGGAAGTATCTATCTGGAACTATCTATTTGGAAGTAAATATCTATCTGGAAAAATCTATTTGGAACTACTATCCCTAGCATGATGTGAGTTAAGGCAGCTTGTCCAAGATTGTGCTATATAAGTATATCTAGAGGAATGTCTCCTGCTTCATGCTAATTAGTAGGCCTTCTTCAACCATCTCAACTGAGAGATGCACTGGTTGTGGCTTACTATAGCCTCTCTATCTTCTGAAACTCCAGTATAAACTAATAGGTAAATGTGGCTCTCATCCAAATGCTGACAGGTCAGTGAGTTCACTTTTATAAGCCAACACAAAGGTTATTTCCACTCAAGAGAGCGCATATTCTGGAGCATAAGCCAACCAAATCATGAGACACAGTGTGGTGTGGTAGATAAGGTGGTGAAGTTGGAGTCAAGAAGACTTGGGTTCATTTCTAGTCTCTGACACTTAATAGCTATGTGACTGTGGGGAACTTATTTAACTTCTCAAAGCCTCAGTTTCCTCATCTGTATAATGAAGTTGTTGGGCTTATTGATTTCTAAGGTCCCTTCTGGCTCTACGTTTATTACGGTAGGATCTTGAGGGTTGCCCTAGATATTGAAGCCCATCGCTTAGAAGGCACGTAGAGGTGGCTCCAAACCAACCAATTCATTTTGGAGGCCACCCCAAAATCACTTAGACCGAATCAGGAGTTGTCTTATTATTCCTTTTAGGGTGCCACGCCTTTATGGAGAGGTGTTGGTAGTGATTGTTCTTGTTTTTGTGTCTGTTGTTACCACTGCTGACGTTCAGTCATTTCAGTCATGTCTGACTCTTTATGACCCCGTTTGGGGGTTTTCTTGGCAAAGATACTGGAGTGGTTTTCCATTTCCTTCTCCAGCTTATTTTACCAATGAGAAAACTGAGGCACAGACAAATGTTTGAAACAAAGCTCCTCTAGTTGATTAGTGAGCCCTCCTGATAAATCTCTTACATTTCATATGTTCACATATTCCACATTCCAACAAATGAGACCACTAAGTAGTCCCTAACCTCTTCCTATATTCTTCTACCTCTGTGAATTTACTAAGGTCCACTCCACCCCTTCTAGCTCTCCCTGGAATGAGCTGTTTTCTCAACGTCATCTGTCAAAATCCCTTATTTCTTTGAAGGTGCATCTTAAATGTTACCTTCCCCATGAAGCCTTCACTCATCCCCCAGATGAAAGTGGTCTTTTCTAATTCAAATTTTCTTAGAGTACTTTGTCTGAATCTCTTCTTTGAGCTTATGACATTCTCCCTTGTCTCCTTTCCCAATTGTCTCTAAACTTGTCTCTTCCCCAATTGGATTGTAAGTTCTTTGAGGGCAGGAGCTATCATTTTTCATCTTTGCATTCCTACTGCAGAACACAAGGCCTTTGCACATAATAGGAACTCAGTTGAATGGATGACTAAAGGAAAGGGCATTGATGTCTCATTGTATTTACCCATTGATTTATGGTTATAAATGAAAACTTTCCCCCTTTTTATGTCCTTTGTACTCTTTAAATCAAGTGGGCATACTAGACCAACTATGCTGGTTATTTTTCACCAAGTTTCTGATGGCTGGGGGGGGCCAGTTCTAGGGAATCATGGGGGACCTCTGTGTGTGTGTGCGTGTGTGTGTGTGTGTGTGTGTGTGTGTGTGTGTGTGTGTGTATCAGAGGAGGAGAAAGGAGAAAGAGAGAGAGAGAGAGAGAGAAAGGGAGGAAGGGAGGGAGAGAGAGGGAGGGAGGGGAGTTTACCCAGCATGTGGCTGATGCCAGTGATAGGACAAAGGCTGAAGCTAGCCTCCCTGGCTCACTGTTCTGGCCTGGCCCTCCACAGCTGGATCCTAATGCCATCTCAGACAGTGCCACAGGCAACGTCACCGACAGCATCATCAAGCAATGGTGTGGCACCGAGGAGACGGTGAGGACACATCCTAGGTCACAAACAGACCCCTATCTCCCAGGCATCATATATCAAAGAGAATCCACTTCCTCAGGGTTCCTCTAGTCCAAGGTTCTTAACCTGAGGTTCATGAATCCCTAGATTTCAGGGGGTCCATAAGCTTGAATGGGAAAAAAATTACTTTATTTTCATTAATCTGTAACTGAAAATTTAGCATTTCCTTCAATTTAAAAAATACCTTTCTGAGAAGAAGGTTTAACCAGATTGCCACTGTTCATCCTGGCCCTCTGACCCTGGGCCTCTTCTCAATATAGCTCTGATCCCTGCCCCTTTCTAACCTGGCCCTCTGACCCCAGAACACTCCCCAAACCCAGCCTTATGTACCCTGCCTTTCCCAATATTGCCCTCTGACTCATTCCTAATCCAAGCCTCTGACCTCTAACCCCTCCTGTGACCACCTGACTCTAACCTAGACTGTGAAGCCTATTCAAGTGAAGAACATTAGTGAATGCAGTACGAACTTCTGCTTCCCCTGCGGGGACCAGCTTTGCCAAGAGAGGAACGTCACAGTCAACATGAAGCCTTGTGAGAAACATCCTCTTTGAACATCTCCTTGACTCCCTTTCTCATCCCCACAAGCCCCCTTTTCAGCCCTAGCCCAGTCCTTGCTGATCTATATGTCATGGGGGGTGGGGTATGCCTCTCTTAGGTCACCACCTTTTTGTGGGATCATCCCTTAATGACCTGGCCATTGGCTTCATCCTCCTGGCTGGCTCTTTACTCGCCCTCTGCTCTGGCCTAGTCCTCATTGTCCGCCTGCTCAACTCCATTTTTCATGGCCGGATTGCCCAGGTCATTCGAAAAGTCATCAATGCTGGTGAGGGGGAACTGGGATTGGAGGGGAGGGGGCAGTTGGAGAGGGTGAAATGGAAGTCAGGGGCAGAGAGAGGGGAGTCACAGAGAGGAACATGGGAGGGAAAGATGGGGATTGGAGGGAATTAGTTTGGAGACTGGGAAAGGAAGCAGAAAAATCAAGGCAACATAGTGTCTTAGTAAGAACATAGGACTTTTTGAGCTAGGAAACATAAGCTTAAGCTCTCTGCCACTAAACCTACTCTGTGAGGTTGGGAAAGTTACTTGACCTCTCTGAGGCTCATCTATAAAATGGGGATAATAGTAATTGAACTATCTGTCTTGAAAGATTGTAGTGAGAACCGAAAACAATAATGTAAAAAAATCACAAATCCTAAGATGTAATATCAGAAATCATTACAATCATTATTATACTAAGAGTGGTAATACTCTGTTACTACTTTTGTGAATGTGGTCATTCTCTAAGCCTCAGTTTCCTCATTTACAAACTGGGGGAAATAATACACTACCTTATGGGGCTGCTCTCAGGAAAGTGCTTTATAAGCTGTAAAGTGATATATATAAATTGCAAATTCTGTTATTAATATTCTTATAATAACTTTAATGTTTCCTTCCTCTTGATTCCCGCAGAGTTCCCTTTCCCCTTTGGATGGCTCAGCGGTTACTTGGCCATTGTGGTGGGTGCGGTTATGACCTTTGTGGTCCAGAGCAGCAGTGTATTCACTGCAGCTATTGTTCCCCTGATGGGTAAGTAGAGAGGCCTCACTGTGCCTGTGATGGTGCTTGGGATGGGCTGGGAGAAGCATGTGACATCCTGGTTCAGTTCAATTTAGTTCATATCAACAAACACTTACTAAGTGCCTGTTATGTATAAGACATTGGACTAGGTGCTGAGGACAGGAAGACAAAAAAGCCAGTTTCTGCCCTCAAGGAGCTAATATTCTACTAACTATATGTCTATAGATAAGTAAATTCAAGAAACTTGGAGGAGCACTGACAATGGAAATTGGTGGGTGGGAAGGCAGGGAAGTCAAGTACCAGAACAGGTTGCATCTGGGAGCTGAGTTGAGCCTTGAAGGGAGTTAGGGATTCTAGGAGGCAGAGTCCAGTAAAGAGTGCATAAAGATGGGAGACCGATATTCCTGTGCCAAGCCACAGAGACAGGAGGTGGAAAGTTGAATTCAGCAATCAACAGTAGACCAATTTGGCTGGAATAAATCAGGGAAAGAAAAAGACTAGAGATAAGGAGGTCTATTAGGAAGCTTTTCAATAGTTCATTTGGTAATGAGAGTCAAAACTAGGGTGTCCGTGGGAGTGGTATGAAAAGGGCAGCCTGAAGAGATTTTGTGGGGTGTAGAATTAATAAGACTTAACAACTGCTTAGATAAAATGGAAGCAGAAATGGTGAGCTTAGGTAACAGGAAGAGTGGTGGTACCTCAACAGGAATAGGGAAGTTTGGAAAAGAGATGGGCTTCGTGGGGAAGATGATGAATCCCCTTTAGGACATGCTAATTTGGAGATACTGATTGGAGATGTAGGCAGAGGTTTCTAGCAGGTAGCTGATGTTCAACAATTAGAGTTCAGGCAAGAGATTAGGGGCAAATGTATATTTATTCATTCATCAGCACTTATTAAGCACTTAGGAGATACAAAGACAAAAATTAAGCAGTTCCAGTCCTTTAGGAAAGATATAGATATTGAAGAGATATCGATTTGGGAGTCATGTTTGTTGTAAAGGTGCTAAATGAGTATGTAGGAGCTGATGCAATCACCGAAAACAGGTGTAGAGAGGGAAGGGAAGAGGACCCAGGGCCAGCCTTGAAGAGACATCCATACAGTGAGCTGGAAGATGGATGAGGGTACAACAAAGGGGACTGAGAAGGAGTGGTCAGATAGAGAGGAGAACCAGGAAACAGTACTGAAGTCAACAAAGTCCAGTGAAAGGATGCAGAGAGGTCAAGCAGGATAAAGCTTGGTGGGGGTGGGAGTGGGCAAGGAGGGAACAATTGGATACAGCAGTTATTGCTGGTAATATTGGAGAGGGCAATGAGGATCAATAGGGTTGTGATTCAGATTGCAAAGAATTAAAATGTGTCCGTCCAGGAAACGGAGATACTGAATATAGATGACTTTTTTCCCTAGGAGTTTGGCTGTAAAAAAGAGGAGGTAATATTTTGAGGGGATGAAAGGCTTTTATTTTTTCCTGGTGAGGCAACTGGGGTTAGGATTAGGAATTCAAAGGTAGAGAATAGTACACAGTTGGACTGACGGTCGCAACAATGGGTCCAAGACAATGATGGGAGGAAAGAGAAACCAGTTCAGGGGTTTTGATTAACAGACAATGAGAAATAAAGAGACTGAAGGTTGAAGTGAGAATGAAGAATGGATTCAGAAGGAGGCAAAAGTAGGGATAGAAAGATAGAAGGTCATGGTCAGAGAGGAATTTCATGGTTCAGGATCATGGAAGTAGCACAATCACGGTGTCAAATAAATGCTTGAATTGAGTTGAATGTCTGATGGTGCGATCTAAGATTTGTACTTCCCTCTGGGTGACTGAGGTAGAGTGAAGGTACAGGTTAAGAGAATTAAGGATCTGGGGCTCCAAGGTATTAAGGGGGCATTAAGATGTATATCGAATGCAAGGATCTAAGACATCTCCAAAAGTCTCATGATGGAAAATGCTATCCACATCCAGAGAAAGAACTATGGAGTTTGAATGCAGACGGAAGCATACTATTTGCTCTTTTTAAAAAAAATTCTGTTTTGTTTTGTTTCTTCTCTCTTGTGGTTCCTCCTATTGGTTCTAATTCTTCTTTACAACATGACTAATGTGAAAATATGTTTAATAGGAATGTATATGTAGAGCTTATATCAGATTGCATGTCGTCTTGGGGAGGAAGGGGGAGAAAATTTAAAACTCAAAAGCTTATGAAGGTGAATGTTGGAAACTAAAAATAAATTAATTTTTTAAAAAGCTTAAAAAAGATGTATATTGAAGTCTCTGGGTAAGAAGGCAGAGATTGGAGTAGAAAGAAAGACTGACCAGGTACTGAATTCCTTGAGGAAGAAGGGATAATGACCCAAAAGCTGATAGGTAACTGTGGCCAGGTTCTAACCAAGGTGATATAGGTAGGCCTGGTGAATATCAAAAGGAGAAGAGGTTGCTGAGTGATGATGTGAAAGGGATGATGATGTCTAGAAGAGACAGTGAGATGTAATAATTTTGCTTTTGAGACTACAACTCCCTACCTTGCTAGTCTGAGAGTACAGTGGCCACTTGTGGATCTGACTACCAATACTGATCAACACAGAAGCTTTAACTTGCTCAGTTTTCCCCCTTGAGCCCCCTTCCCCACCCTCAGCCTAGTGCCCTCTGCTCCTGAAAGCTCACTATATTGGTACCAGACTTGGTTAACCCCCTTAGCATGGACTTTAGTCCTACTGCTGCTCAGAACTCCCAAACTCAAGCAATCAAGGGAATCACATTCCTTGGTAACAGGGACCAGAGGCACGCACCACCACACTCAGGTGCAAAGATTATTCTCACTCCTATTGGCACAGGATGTGGCTGCAGGACAAAAGAAGTACCTAATACTGGAGAAGATGACCAGGGAAAGAATTATTTAGAGGGAACCAGTTTTCCCAGAGGGCAAGAAGTTGGAAGAAATGTGAGAGAAGATGTATGGGATAAAGTGATAGAAGAGGGGCTCTAGATGGCACAACGTAAGGAGAGGGCTGCAAAAACATGGTATGGTCTTGTAAGACTACTTCATGAATTTGAAGGTCAGCTTTAGTAAGGAAAGTTGTGAAAAGGTTTGTGTGTGTGTGTGTGTGTGTGTGTTGTGTGTGTGTGTGTGTGTGTGTGTGTGTGTACACGGGTGTTTTGCTATAGTGGGAAAAAAAAGATCAAATAAGGGATAGATCTGTTGCTTGGGTGAATGGGATGATAATCAGCGATAGAGAAAACATAGAGGTGCTCAGTTCTTGCTCTGTTTTTGTATTCTCTACCAAGAAAAATTGTCTTTGGACAGAAAAAATGATGAGCAAGTGACGCCCTTGATAAGTAGGGAGATAGCAAATTTGCCTAGTTGCCCTTGATGAGTTTAAGCCACCTGGTCTTCATGAGCAGTATTCTGTGAGGACCAATATGAGCCACTTTGAAAGATATGGAGAGAGTGAAAGCTATCATTGAAGTAGAGAAGGCCAAAGGTTATCCTGGTTTTCAAAGACAGTGAATAGAATGGATTTTACAAACAATCAGCCACTGGCTTGACTTCAATTCTGGGCAAAATGATAGAATGCATTTTTAAAGAGAACACCTAGAAAAGGAAGCCACAATCACAGAAAGCATGGTTTCATCATGAGCAGGCTTTGCCGGACTGAATTAATTTCCTTTTTGACAGAGTTATGAAAGTTGTAACTCAGGGAATTACCAAAACTTTAGCAAAGCATTTGAAAAAGTATCTCATGATATTTTTTGTGGACAAGATTAAGATTCATGGACTAGATTGGGGTTCTTAACCTTTTTTGTGTCATAGACCCTTCTGGCAATCTGGTAAAACCTGTGGACCCCTTCCCAGAATAATTTTTTTAAATCCATGAAATAAAATACATAGGATTACAAAAGAAAACAATTATTCTGATTGATCTACAGTTATTAAAAAAATTTTTTGGAGGGACTAGGCGACTTGACCAGGGTCACACAGCTAGTAAGTGTCAAGTGTCTGACGCCAGATTTGAACTCAGGTCCTCCTGATTCCAGGGCCAGTGCTCTATCCACTGCACCACTTAACTGCCCCTAAAAAAAATTTTTTTTTAAACAAGTTCACAGATTCCAGGTTAAGAATCCCAGGAGATGAGAGTACAGCCAGTTGGACCTAGTGTTAGTTGAATGCCTAGCCCCCAGGGAAGCAGGTGGTTTGATATCAACAAGGAAGGAGATGTCTAGTGGAGGGCCTTCAGTGCCTGGATCTTTGCTGTGGAATGTCCCCCTTTGTTCTTGTTGACTAGCCTTGGATTTGCAGGGTATGTCATTTGGGGTTGCAATTTTAATTCCTTTGCTTCTCAAATATGCCCAACGGTGTCAAACTCAAGTAGAAACTGATCCCTTTGGACTACCTTACCTAATGACTTAGAAAACTACCAATGAACATTATTATGTTGTGTAGTGTTTTTACTTATTTTGTTAAAGGTTTTCCAATTACATTTTAATTTGATTGGGCTGCACTCAGGAGTTTTGCTGGCCTACAGGCTGAAAGTTTGACACCTCTGCGCTGAACCATTCCTTTCTGCTATTTCTAGTGGATGTACAATAATTTTACATTATTCTAATTTCCTGTCCTTTGTATCTGAAGGTCTTTATCTTGGCCATTTGTAGAATTTATTTGTCATTAGAATCGTTCCATTTGATCACTATGTGTCTTAGAGTTTGAAGGGTAGGGTTTTGTTTTGTTCTGTTTTCTGGAGACAATTTGTGAACTCTTTTAATCGGTGCTTTATTTTCTGTATTCAGAGATTTGGAGCAGTTTTCTTGTATTATTTCCTTTTATAGTGTTCAGCCTTTTTTATTTGTCACATTCTTCTGGGAGACCTGTGATCCTTAAGCTGTTTCTGTATATCCCGTCCTCAAGGTCAATGACTTTGGCTTGTGTAGAGATCACGTGTTCTTTTAATGTGGTTGTCTTTTGCTCCTCCTTTGCCAGATTTTTCTCTATTTCAGTATTCCTTCATTCCAAATATGTTAAAT